CTCCCTTCCTCCCTCCCTTCCTCCCTTCCCTTCCCTTCCTTTCCTCCCTCTTTCCCTCCCTTCCTCTCTCTTTCCTCTCTTTCTTTCTTCTTGTCTCACTTTGTCACCCAGGCTGGAGTGCAGTGGCATGACTATGGCTGACTGCAGCCTCAAACTCCCTGGCTCAAGCAATCCTTCCCCTCAGCTCCCCTAGTAGCTGGGACTACAGGCGTGCACTACCACACCTGGCAAATTTTGTGGAAACAGGGTCTCACTATGTTGCCCATGCTGGTCTCCAACTACTGGCCTCAAGTGATCTTCTAGCCTTGGCCTCCCAGAGTGCTGGGATTACAGGCATGAACCACTGCATCCAGTCAGTATTCATCTTTCAAAAACAAATCTGAGTCATCATTTGAAAATTTATAATCACTTTAAAATCTGGATTTTTGGCATCTCTTTAAAATGAGATGATCTGCAAACACTGGGCCTGTCTATCTGTGTGGAAATAATTGCCGGCGCTGAGCAATGCCTGTCTCTCTCTCTTTTTTTTTTTTTTAGAGACGGGGTCTCACTATGTTGCCCAGTAGCTATTCACAGGTGCCATCCCACTACTGATCAGCACGGGAGTTTTGACCTGCTCTGTTTCCGACCTGGGCCGGTTCACTCCTCCTTAGGCAACCTGGTGGTTCCCGCTCCCGGGAGGTCACCATATTGATGCCGAACTTGGTGCGGACACCCGATCGGCATAGCACACTACAGCCCAGAACTCCTGGGCTCAAGAGATCCTCCAGCCTCAGCCTCCCGAGTAGCTGGGACTACAGGCACGTGCCACCGTGCCCGACACGGCTGTCTCTTAATAGGGTTGCTCACCAGCAGGGGCAGGGCTGGGGTCCAGCCCAGGTGTCCCTAAGTCCCCAGCCTCAGCTGTCACTCAAGTTTCCACTTAAGGCTTGAAGATACCAGGGTCATGGCTGGCGACAGAGGCTCCGTCCCTGCACCCCCAGGAGAGACACTCACCCACAGCTTGGTAGAGGGCCAGGAAGCCCTTGTGGAGGTGGGCAGTCTGGTTCTCTGCGGAAGGCTGTGTGCGGAAGGTCAGCCGCAAACTCCTCCCTGAGGATACAAACTCCCTCTGACCAGGGGGCCTGCCCAGAGGTGAGCCCTGCTGACCACAGAACTGGCTTGGATCCGACCCGCTGGCTGAGATCTGAAAGGGGGAGGGGGGCGAGGCTGCAGACAGGTGTGGTGTGAATCTGCGCTGCTGGTGCCACAGGGGCACGTGCCCCTCTGGGGCTCATAAGGCACCTCACAGAGGCTTCCTCAACTAGCTTCTGGTTCCATTATTGACTCCTGAGTTTCTTCCAGACATAATCACATACTACAATGTTTCTTTAGCCTACCATAATTACTTCTAAAACCGACTATATTTTCCTTCTTTTAAGAAGTTCCTTGGGAACCCCAGGGTTCCCATAAGAGTCTCTGGATTATAAATTGTAAGAAGGCAAGGACTGCTTCTGTCTTTCTCACCACTGGGTTCCTGGCGCTCAGAGCTTTGACTCAATGAACACAGGCATAAGCCCCGCCCATCCAGCCTCTCCTCCATCCCCAAGCCCCGCTCCATCACCTTCCGCTTCTTCGAATAACTTTCTGTGGCCAACATCTGTGAAGCAGTAAGATCCTCTGCAGAGACGGAGGCTCTGAGGTTCCTGTCTTTTCCTGCTTTCCTTCTTTTGGGGTGCCCCTCCTCTTATCCCATGGACTTTGTAAACGAAGCCCTCAAATGCATGAAAACCTAAGGACACAGGTGTCCACAGTCCAGGTACGCTGGATGATGTTCTTACGCTGGTAAGCTCTTAGGCAGCTTGTCTCTTTCAATGCCCCTTTGACTGTCTCACCTCTGCTCAAATCCCTTCCTGTGGGTTCCTCAGGTCAAAAAGGGGAGGCTTGGAGGGAGTTCCTGGGCCACGCTTCCTGCTTTATCTCTGCTCCAGGCACATCGCTCACTGCTTGGCTCGTTTTATTTCTGGCTTTCACGCTGATTCACATATCCTGGGTTTTTGCTAGCTCTCCATTCCCTCATTCTCCACAAATTCCAAATTCTTTCAAGACTTCATCCAGACCATGTCATTATGATCACAGAAACTGGGTAAAAGTTGCGATGAAGAAAATTTCTCAATCACCCCAAATGCCTGGCTCAGCAAACTAAAAAGCAAAACAAAAGCAAACACTACCCCCCAAAAAAAAACTCCATGTAATTATTGACTCCTGGGAAACCCAAAAGTTGGAGAAGAAAGAAAATATAATTATCATATGCCATGTGCTCAGATGTGAACATTTTACAGTTATAATAATGTAAATAATTAATAAAGATTTAACTAAAAATGATGTAGGTAAACTGGCAGAATGGAGAAGGGACATGTGGGTGGTGAAGACTGAAGACAGATAAAGCTAGTCCTTATCTTCTATACCGTAGTTGGATGTTAATAGAAAACATGTAAAAATGAAAGATAAATAAGCATGTTACTTACACATATGAGGCTGAAGAGCAGAAGAAACAGCTACATGAACTGGAAAAAGACTGCTCCTGAGAAGCAGCACTCAGGGGTGTGGAGGAGCAGCTTGGAGACTGTTGCTATTCATAAGCCTTTTTAAAAACTTTTTTTTTTTTTTTCAGACGGAGTTTTGCTCTTGTCACCCAGACTGGAGTGCAATGGCGTGATCTCAGCTCACCGCAACCTCTGCCTCCTGGGTTCAGGCAATTCTCCTGCCTCAGCCTCCCGAGTAGCTGGGACTACAGGCGCGCATCACCATGCCCAGCAAATTTTTTGTATTTTTAGTAGAGACGGGGTCTCACCATGTTGACCAGGATGGTCTCGATCTCTTGACCTTGTGATCCACTCGCCTCGGCCTCCCAAAGTGCTGGGATTACAGGCTTGAGCCACTGCACCCGGCCTAAAAATCTTTTTTTTTTTTTTTTGAGTCAGGGTCTCACTCTGTCACCCAGGCTGGAGTATAGTGTCATAATTAGAGCTCATTGTAGCCTCTACCTCCCAGGCTCAAGTGATCCTCTCACTTCAGTGTCCCTTATAGCAGGGACCACAGGTGAGTGCCACCACACTCGGCTAATTTTTAAATTTTTTTGTAGAGATGGGGTCTTGCTATGTTGTCCATGCCAGTCTCAAATGATCCTTTCGCCTCAGACTCCCAAAGTGCTGGGAATACAGACATGATCTACTGTGCCCAGCCTTAGAAAACTTTAATTAAAAAAAAGTGTTACAACTATTACGCACCCATAATAATTAAAAATTTAAAAATAAAGTTCAAAAAATTATGTGCATGTCATTTTGTTATAAATAAAATTTAAATCAAAAGATGATGTGGTCTTTTTATTTTTATTTATTACTTATTTACTTATTTTTGAGATGGGGTCTTGCTATGTTCCTTAGGCTGGCCTTGAACTCCTGGGCTCCAGCCCTCTGTCTCCTGAGCAGCTGGGACTACGGGCCTGCATCACTACATCAAGTGCTGTTTTTAAAATGTCCTTATTCTGAATAAGGCTTTGGCCTTAGAAGGTTTGTGATAGCTCTTCTAAGGTAAGTGTGAATGGTGATTTCATCTTTTGTTATTATTTGTGCCCAGCTTTCTCACATGACAGAGCAGGCACTCAACAAATACATGATTTTTTTTTTTTTTTTTTTTTTGAGGCGTTGTTTCACTCTTTTTGCCCAGGCTGGAGTGCAATGGCCTGATCTCGGCTCTCCATGACCTCCACCTCCTGCATTCAAGTGATTCTCCTGCCTCAGTCTCCGGAGTAGCTGGGATTACAGGCGTGCCCCACCACACTCGGCTAATTTTGTATTTTTAGTAGAGACGGGGTTTCTCCATGTTAGTTAGGCTGGTCTCGAACTCCTGACCTCATAACCTGCCCACCTTGGCCTCCCAAAGTGCTGGGATTACAGGTGTGAGCCACCGCGCCCCACCATGATGACACATTTTTAACAATGCATGTGAGAGTCCTTGCCCTGGCTCCATAGATTTGCAAGATTTGTGTGTCCCTTCATGAGTCTTCCTAATGCAGGGCCTGCCTGCTGCCCGCTTTGCTCTGTGGGGCCCAGATGGTCCTGGAGGCGCTGGTGGGAGGCTGTGTCCTGGGGCCCACCATTGCTCCCTGGGTAAGCCGAGCCCCACTGCCCCTAAATGGAAAATTCATCCCTCCTCCAGATGGGTGATTCAGGGCACCGCCACTTCCCACACCCCCAGGAGTCTCCCTGGTCACAGTCCTGGCGGGACCCCCCATCCCCAGCTCACTGTGACAGAGTCCCCTGCACAGTCCTGGGACGGCTCCAGGTCGAAGTCCTGGAAGACGAGCCTCACAGCAAAGCCCTCTGGAGCCTGGATGTCCGTGGTGCTCTCTTGGCCTTTGTGATACGGCTCTGGGTACCCAGGAGAAGTCAGCTGCTGGGGTAGCTGCTGGGCCAAGAGGTCGGAGCCCCGGGTGGGGCAAGCCTGGAGGACTCCCCAGAGGAGCAGCCACCACCTGGGAGTGGGGGAGGGCAAGGTGGGGCCGCGCAGGTGCGGCCGGAAGCCTGCGGGGGTGGGAGGAGCCGGTGCGCGCCAGGGCCGAGGGCGAGGAAGGAAGGGAGGCCCGGGCCCCTCGCCTCCGCCCTCGTTCCCCTTCCCACCCCGGTCCCTACGGCCTCCCGTGCAGCCCGAGCTCCAGGACTGTGGGTTTCCGTCCTCCGAAGACGTCCCCTTCGCTCATCTCCCAGGAGAGCCTCATCTAAAGGAGGGGCTGCCTTCTGCTTCTGCAGACTCACCCCACCCGCGATCCGGGGGAGCAACGGCGGGGCGAGAGAGGGTCCCCCGCAAATATGCCCCGACCATCCCCACCCCAGGGAAGGTGCTAGAGTCCACAGGCAAACTCCAGTTTCCCCATGGAATATCTGCTGTGCTGCTGGTGGTGTGTGTGTATGTGTGGTATGCGTGTGTGTGTGTGCGTGTGTGTGAGCGTGTGTGTGCGCGCGTGTGTGTTTATGTGTGTGGGGGGTATGTATGGTATGCGTAAGTGTATGTGTGGTGTTTGTGTACGTGTGGTATGTATGTGTGTGTGTTTATGTGTGGTGTGTGTGGGGGGTATGTGTAGTGTTTGTATATATATGTGTGTGTGTGTGTGTGTGGTGTATGTGTGGTGTGTGTGGTGTGTATGTGTGTGTGTTTATGTGTGGTGTGTGTGTGGGGTATGTGTGGTGTTTGTATATATATGTGTGTGTGTTTATGTGTGGTGTGTGTGTGGGGTATGTGTGGTGTTTGTATATATATGTGTGTGTGGGTATGTGTGGTGTGTGTGGGGGGTATGTGTGGTGTTTGTGTATGTGTGGTGTGTGTGTATGTGTGGGGTGTGTGTGTGTCTGTGGTATGTGTAGGGTATGTGTGGTGTGTATATGTATACGTATGTGTGGTGCATGTACGTGTGGTGTATGTGTGTCTGTGGGGGTATGTGTGGTATGTATACATGTGTGTATGTGTGGTGTTTATGTGTGGTGTTTGTATATATGCATGTATGTGTGGTGTTTGTGTATGTGTGGTGTATTTGTGGGGTGTGTGTGTGTGGTGTGTGTATGTGAGGTATGTGTGTGGGGTATGTGTGGTGTGTATGTGTGTGTATGTGTGGAATGTGTGTGCAGTGTGCATGTGTGGTGTGTGTGGTGTGTATGTGTGTTTGTGTATGTGTGGTGTGAGTGTGTGTGGTGTGTATGTGTGTTTATGTGGTGTGGGGGGTATGTGTGGTGTGTATGTATGTGTATGTGTGGTGTATGTGTGGAGTGTGTGGTGTGTATGTGTGTGTATGTGTGGTGTGTATGTGTGTGTGTTTATGTGGTGTGCGGGGTATGTGTGGTGTGTATGTGTATGTGTGGTGTATGTGTGGAGTGTGTGTGTGGTGTTATGTGTGTTTGTGTATGTGGTGTGTGTGATGTGTATGTGTGTTTATGTGGTGTGGGGGGTATGTGTGGTGTGTATGTGTATGTGTGGTGTATGTGTGGAGTGTGTGTGTGGTGTGTATGTGTGTTTGTGTATGTGGTGTGTGTGATGTATATGTGTGTTTATGTGGTGTGGGGAGTATGTGTGGTGTGTATGTGTATGTGTGGTGTATGTGTGGAGTGTGTGTGGTGTGTATGTGTGTTTGTGTATGTGGTGTGTGTGATGTGTATGTGTGTTTATGTGGTGTGGGGGTATGTGTGGTGTGTGTGTATATATGTGTGTGTGTGTGGCGCGTGTATGTGTGGGATGTGCGTATGTCTGGTGTATGTACGTGTGCATGTGTGGCAGGGCGGGGGGAGGAGAGCTTGCGCCCACACACCCTCCTTCCCTCCCCTCCCCTCCTCGTCCCCCTCCTCTGCCGGGGCCACACTCACATTGCGCCTGCACAGCCTGCGGAGTGAGGGCTTCTGCAGCGACAGTCCCCCCGCACTCTGGGTGCAGGCATCCGGCACTGCACGTCAGGGACCTGCGAGAGAACCGGCCCGGGTTACGGAGCGACAGGCGAAGGCCCCGTGGGGGAGGAGGGAGTTCCTGGAAGCGCGTTAGGCAACCCCACGGTTCCCCTTCTCTAATTCTCCGGGCTCAGCGCCACCTGCCGTCGGACCCAGGAACAGCGGGCCCTCCGCAGCTTAGGGGAAAAACGTCCAAAACCCTGGCTGGCCCTCAGAGGTCAGGGTGGGAGGGCACCGATGCAACTCTTTTTTTTTTTTTTTTTTAATTTTATTTTAAAGAGACAGGGTTTCGCTCTGTTGCTCAGGCTGGAGTGCAGTGGCTGTTCACAGGCGCGATCCCACGGGAGTTTTGACCTGCTCTGTTTCCGACCTGGGCCGGTTCACCCCTCCTTAGGCAACCTGGTGGTCCCCGCTCCCGGGAGGTCACCATATTGATGCCGAACTTAGTGCAGACACCCAGTCGGCATAGCGCACGACAGCCCAGAACTCCTGGGCTCCAGTGATCCTCCCACCTCAGCCTCCCGAGTAGCTGGGACTACAGGCACGTGCCACCACGCCCAGCTCAACCCTTGCACTATTTCACGTTAATTTTTGCCATGTGTGTAGGATGGCTCCTTGTGAGTTATGGCTGCTGCCTTCAGTCAGTCATGTCTCTCCCTCTTCGACCTTTCCATTCACTGACATTACCTGAGCAGCCTCTCTCCTGCGGAATTGAAGATTTCTCCTCCTCTCCCTCCCCACCAGGCATGGGTGGGGGACCTGCCCTTAGGTGATCTTTTGAATCCTACCCCCAACCTCTGGAGGCTGCTCGTCCAGCAAGGTCAGGGCTGGGGTCGAGCCCAGGTGTCCCTCAGTCCCCAGTCCAAGTCATCACTTGAGCCGTCACTCAAGCCATCTTCTTTAGGCAAATACTAGAGGCCATGTTTGCTCTCACTGCTCCCCCAGGAAGGGCACTCACCCACGGCTGGGTGGGAGGCCAGGAAGCCCTTGTGGAGGTGGGTGGTCCTGTCCTCAGAGGAGGCAGGTGTGTGGAAGGCCTTATGTTGTACACACACACACACACACACACACACACACACACCCCCCTTTCAGAGAAGAATGTATTGCTTCCTCCATTTTGCATGTAGTAATCTGGCTCCTCACAATTGCAGCAACTTACAGACTTAAACAGGGTATGTTCTGGATCTTTGGTTTTTCTAGACTAGAGAGATTCAGTAGAGCCATAGTCCATGGCTAATGAGGAGATGATAAGACAGTGATGGCCAGGTTGGATGCAATTCCTCAGGTACAGCCTTGAGATCAAGCCTACCTTGCCTGCCACAGCCCAACCCCAACCACACCTGCGGATTGTCTCCC